ATGCTAACAATTGTCCTATCAGGCAGGTATTTTCACAGATGACCCAGTTCCCAGCCTTTCCCCTTCCCAGCTGGCTACTTACAAGACAAAAAGGAAAACACCAGTTGAAAATAGACTAATGGATCCTCCTTCCCCAAATGGCAAAAGTCAATGTAACAAAGGTGAACACATGATTTCCTAGTGAAGCCGCTGGCGCCCACACCCACTGCCCGCTCAGTCCCCAGACGGGCCAGCTTCCCGGCAGGACCAGGACAGACGCCCCGGAGAACGCAGAGAAAGCCTCACCCTCTTCGTCAGAGACGTCCAGCACCTCGGTCATGGTCTCGGGAACATTCAGCTTGTGTTTCTCAGTGATAGTCTGCGAAGAGAAAGAGCATTCACGCTTGAAAACAAACTCCCAGCAGACGCCAGGAGCCAGACTCCGCGTCGGCCCAAGGCCTGTCTGAAGTTCTTTCTCTGCTTTTCTCTCGTGAAAACCCACGTCCTCTGAGGACAAAGGCCACGGACCGTGAGGCTGCACCAGAGAAAGCCGCTGCCGTGAGCTCCCACTTAACAGCCAGTTCGTTCCCAGTGGCACCAACGGCCGATCGTCCGGAGCCGGCGGTCACCGTGCGCAGGGCCTCCCTGAAGTGAACTCCAGAAAAGCCTTACGGGAGCAATGAACACATGCAATTTATTAAAGCCAAGCCCGGGGAAAAGACGTGGTAAACCACGTGAAAGACGTAGATCGTCTGGGCAGAAAACGGGTCTTCTGGGCCCAGAGGGGGGACGCTGGTCCACTCTGCACGCCTGGCCTGTGCGGCTGGTCAGCCTCCGGCCACACGCCCAGCTCCCGGCTGCGGGGGGGCGGGGGGGGGGACCAGGCTCCAACGCGACCTTCCCGCCGGCTGTGAGGCCTTGCTAGGCCCTTGCTTCTCCGTGCCTCAATGTCTTCGTCTGTGAACAGCGATGACAACACTGCTCACCAGTGGTTGTGAAGATCGGATGAGATGACACATACAAGAGCCCTAAGAGCGGCTGGCACACGTCAGTGCTCACTGCACACCAGCTGGCAGGAGCTGTCCTACTGTAACTCGGGACTAAGGTCTCGAACGCTGAAGAGCCTGGGCGTTCGGTCACTCAGGCACCAGGGAGCAGAGTGGCCGCTGCGGGCCAGGAGCCGTTTCAGACACATCCCCTGGCATCTTTACGGGAAGTTTAAAATAACGAATCTCGAAATGAGAGTAGAGTCTTCACCAAAAGCCACTGAGACACAGGAAGCAGGTTGTGTAGGGCTTTAACCCCTTCCCCGGCAGAAACGTGTATACTCGTTTTCACAAAATGTTCTTTTTCAGTCGTCGACGAGTATACTAAGAAAATATGGTAAAAAAATATGGTTTATAGGAAGACGAGTTACAAACTGTTTTCATAACCAGCATCAAAAATACTATATAGAACCAAAATAAAAAAATTAGTCTGAAAAAGAAACGTTTTTAACAAAAAAATTGTTGGGGAAGGGGTTAAGCTTCGCTACACAGATGTTATTAACCTGGAAAAATTATGTGAAAAGTTTAGAAGGTTCTGTTCTCAGCGTCCTGTCTCAGATAATGGCACACGGGATAAGCAGGCATCACAGATGTGGGTGTTCCCATGCAGGAGTGACGCTCTCGTGCAGACGGACACCGAGCCTTCTGGGCCACGGACTAGAGTCCCAGGAAACGCCCGACTCCGCCTTGAAGGCTGTCGCGGGGGGACAGGCATCACGGCATCGGCGGCGGCGATCCGCTCCCGCTGGGGAAGGGGTGGAACTCGGAACACTGGCATCTTCTTAAACGGCTGCCAAAGAACTCCCCAGCATTTAAATGACAACAGGACGCCGTTTCATGGTGGCGGCTTATTCCGTGCTTTAGGTGCTATCAGTGGTTACACACAGCATAAAAGAGGGTGGGTCACTTTAAAATTATGCAAATAATACATAGACCTGACAGCTGACCCATAGTGGCCGCCTGGGTCGCATCTCACGGTTCTCCCAGCTGCCTCAAGAGACTGCCTCCTGCTCCACTGCCAGGACCAGGGGCCCCTGTCCCAACGCCCCTGCCCGCACAGTGACCACCGGGGCGAGCTGTCCCTGCCCCGGGCGCCTCATGGAGCGAAGGTTAGGGAAACAGCCATGATTCCAAATGCCTCCGCCACTCGTACAGCCGCGACTTCTCCTTCCCCAGCGGTTGCCCGACGCCTCTCCCTGCACAAGGGCTTCGGGGGAAGACCTCGGAGGGGGCGCAGCTCAGACACCCACGTGGCGGCTCCAGGGCACGTCCCACGAATCCGAGGCGACGTCTGTGGGCTGTGCAGCTGTCCTTCAACTCTTCCACTGAAGAGGTGACAGCGTAACATTTAATTTAATTTTATTTTACATAATTATTAAGTTGTCTGTGCTGTTTGCCTGTCATGGTGAGTGGCTGTTATTTTAGTGAGTCTGTGGACTTTAGGAAATGACACTGAACATGATGCTTCCGTGAACATACACAAAGGGGCCAGGTAAGAGGGTTTTTCTTAAATTGAAAATTAGGTGAAAAATTTTCTTTTGCAAAATCCCTGCGAAGCTCCTTTAGCAAAGCCAAGCTCTGTGATGCCAGAGGGTTAAGATCATGGGCTTTGGGATCCGACAAACTCAACTTGAACCCTAGACGTACCCCTGCAGTTCCGGAGCTTTGTTGCGTGTTAGCGGCATCGATGACACTGCTGTGCGGAGGAAGGAATGAAAATCTCTTCCCCAAGAGCAGACGCGCGAGACTCGCGTAACAGAGAGGAGTACGTTCATTTTTCAATGCTTAACCCCCGATTCCGTTTCAGAAAACAACAGACTTGCAACCACGAGAGAAGAACTGACGTGAGAGGCAGGAGGAAAGTCAGGCGCATCAGCGGTCGCCAGCCTTTCGGGCCTCACGGACCATCAGTGATCCACAGACCACTGGTTGGCAGCCGCTGCATTAGGCCACGCAGCCAGGGAGACCCTTCCCCGCTGACCCCGCTGACCCCACTGACCCCCGCTGACCCCCGCTGGAGCGCATGCCCGGGGCCTTGTATTTGTCGGGGGCTTCTCACCTGCAGGGGCCAGTGGTTTTGCTGGGGCAGCGCTCAGCTCGGCAGCGTGAGGACAGCAGTTACAGAGGGGAAACACAGCCCACAGAATTCTGAGGCTTTCGTGCCCCAGAGCTGGGGGTGGGGACCTGGCCGTCTATCGGTTCACAGGGGATCTGAGTGCCCCCGAGCTGGGTGTGGGGCTGGCCGTGTGTCTGAGAACCTGTGGCCAGTGTTTAGAACGCCGACTGCCTCGTGATAAACGTGGCCTGTGTAGCGGGGTCTCTCACTCGGACAGAGCTGCCATCTCTCACAATGGACACGTCTGACCCACCGTTTTGTTGAGCTAAAGAATTTTTTTTCTTAAAGAACCCATGGGCCACCCTCCAGGCCACCATGTGGAGTTGCTGCTGGGGGAGGTGTTGTCTTCACCGCTGACCCCTCCTCAGCACTGGTTTCTACCCAGAAACCCTTCACGTGGATTAATGAGGCGAACGGAAGGGAAAAAAGCACAAGGTACAGAAAAGGATGCAGGCGCACCCCTCGCTGGGACCTGATGAAGATGCACACATGGCCCAAGTGCCCAGAAAAAGCCGTAAGAACAGACGTGTTTGGCCGCCTGGGATGCCCACGCTGCTTCAGAGATGCCCAACAGGACAAAACTCTCCCTACAGCGGAGGGAGACGCACTGGGTCTAAGCAAGCAGGGAGCAAGGACGGCCACTACGACCCACCTCCAGTGTGACTCGGGGTGAGTGTGAGCAGAAACGGGCCTGTGTTTCTCCTACGTAATTTCTTGAAGAAACTTCACTTTGAACGTTTAAAAATAGCCTGGCCAGGTAGCTCAGTCAGTTGGAGCCTCCTCCAGTACCCCAAAAAGTTGTGGGTTCGATTCCCAGGCAGGGCATATAGGTTACAGGTTTGTCCCTGGTCAGGATGTATACGGGAGGCAACTGATCGATGTCTCTCACATCCATGATTCCCTCCCTCTCTCTTCCCCTTTCTCTAAGGTCAATGAAATCATATCCTCAGGTGAGGATTAAAAAAATCTTTAAAAATACTGTGGCACCGGGGCACAGGCTTTAAAAGTGCCCGAGAAAACACGTGGCATGACCCTCTGCGTCTGCGACATCGCCTCGCGTCCAGAAATAAACCCGACTTCCCCCACATAGGACAGGTCCCGGCAGCTGTGCTCACCCACTGCCGTGTCACGGGGCTGCTGTCGCCCGGGAACACACTCCTTCCTCCCACCTCCCACCGGCCCATCGTCTGCGCCTGGGCTGTTGCTGGAACCTTTCAGTGTTCGTATCGGCCGAGGTTTGTCTGTGCCCTACTGTCTGCTTACCCACTTTCCAAATAAGCCGCCGAGCTGCCGTCCGCAGCCTCACAAACGTCCCCAACAAGTCGGTGCAGAGACTAGCCCTGGGAGGCACCCAGCTCTGCTCCACAGGCCCGGCCCCAGGACCCCCGGCCCGCTGAGTCCCCCAGCCCTGTGGGCAGAGGCCACACACCCTGCCCTAGCAGACTGTTTCCCTACTAAGCGCACTCAGTTCTTTTTGAATAAAACATAATCAGAGACAGAGAGGACATGGGGCAGAACAAGTCTCTGGGGAACCTTCAGACCAGCCGGGAGCACTGCAGGGACCAGGACCCTCCCGGGGCTGCGTCCCCTCTGCTCAAATGAGGAGTTTGCCAGGACTGTCCTGCCCCTCGGCTGGCAGCTGAGGTCACACCCAACCTCAGCTCGAGGGCAGAGGAGCAGGAAAAAACAAGGAGGCCCTGTGAACTCACACACTCCACCGGGATGTGCAGGACACAAGAGCTCGGCCGCTGCCCTGTGAGTGCCCTCCCACTGTGGCCCTCCCTGTGCTGCCCAGATTCACCCCTAGAAGTTGAGACCGCGGCGCAGGACGTGGGGTGAGGGGAGAAGGCGCGACGGGAAAGCTGGCTCGAGAAGCAGCCCCGGGCCCCTTACTCACTGTCGTGGTGGTGGTGACCTCCTCCGTCACAACCTTCAGGGTGTCGACCACCGAGATGTAGCCCAGCCGCTTAGCGATGGCCAGGGCCGTGTTGCCATTCTTGAGAGGGGGATGGGGGGGAGAAGAAGGGATGGGGAGAGAGGGAGAGAGAGAGAGAGAGAATGGAGCCAGTGAGCTCACCGCCCCAGGAGCCAGCGCCTCCTCCAACGCCAGGCGCAGTGGAGGAAATCACTCGTTTTCACCATCACATCTGAATGTGTCTTGGTAACTTCTCCAGCCTGGAGAGCGGGTCACCATGGAAACACAACAAGCTGCATCTGCCCCTCCTCCTAAGGAGAAGCACTTGCGGCTTTAACCCCTGGGTGGTCAGCTCTGGGGGCTGGATGGTGCTGGGAAAGGGAGGCCTCCAGACCAGCCTGGCTGAGGGCCCGCCTTCCCCAGGACAGGCCGGTTCAGGGAGGGCAGGCGCCTCAGGGCACAGTCCCTGTGTGCAGACACCACAGCAAACAGCAGGCCGCTGCTCAGGCCTGGGGAGCCCCGGGGTGAATCACACCACCTCATTTACATCCTAATGGCCCCTTATCCCAGGAGCCTGTCTACGCCAGAGGAAGCGGTGGGCCCAGCCTCCAGCCCCCAAGTCCAGACCGCCAGCCGCACTGAGGCTACCCCAGAGCTGGGGCCTGAGGGTGGAGGCCCATCTCAGGAGGGGTGGGGACTGTGGCACCCTGCTCTGCTCAGCCTGAGCACGGCTGGGGCAGGTGACATACGGACGCTGTCCTACTTCAGACACCTCATGAGGAGGCAGGGGTTTTGGAAAAGACACCGATGCTGGGAACAGAGGCAGCAAGAGAAGAGGAGCCCAAACAGGAGGTGGAGGGGCTCACGAAAGAGCCACAGGCTGAGCCTCCAGGCTGCGCAGGGCAGTGAGGCTGGGCATCGGGCAGCAACATTCACGGGTCCCCGGGAGTCAGAGGTGACTCAGCAGCACTAACAGAGGGTCCCCCCCACCCCTGGCACTGGCCATGGCAGAGGGACCGGGGTGCGGGGGGCCTTACCGTGGTGGTGGCATCGGGCCGCGCCCCATGCTGCAGCAGCACATTGATGATGTGTGTGTGGCCCTGCTGTGCGGCCTGGTGCAGGGGCGTGTAGCCACTCTGGGAGGGGGGGCAAGGAGGGAGGAGAAGGAGAAGCCGGTTAGCCTGCGTTCAAGGCCATCTTACTTATGACAATGCTGTGCATGGGGGCGGCCGCCCCAGGAGCCCGCTCCCAGCAGCACACACGCCCGCACACCTTCTGCCCCTGAGTAAAGGGAGACAGGCGACTGGCGTCTCCGACACTGTTCTGAGCCGTGAGCATGGAAACGTGAGCCCGCGCCGCCACGGAAGCAGCGGTGGCGAGGAGACGTCCGAGAGCTGCAGGCGTCACCGCACTGTGCCTGGCCCGGGCGGCTTCCCAACGGGTCACTCAGGGCTCACTTTCCGGACCTCGGTCTGGAAGTTCCTTCCCCTGAGGGGGGTCGTGGGAGGCCCACTCTGACCCACGGTCTTTACATTTTGGTTCTGTCCCCACCTGGCCGGGCTCGCCTCCAAGGAAGTGAGGAGGAGTCATGAGGTGAGTAGGGCCGCCTGGCCCTGGACGTGCTGGTGCAGGGACAAGGGCAGAGTAAAGGGACAGCCCCGTGTCAGGGGACACAACTGGGAACGGGGGAAGGAGTTTCTTCACAGCCACGCCACAGCCAGGCCCGTGGAGAAGGTCACGCCGGCCAGAGCTGCGCTACCCTTATCCGCTGGCCTCGCCTGACAGAAGCTTCCACGTCTGTCAGACCCACCCGTGTGCTCTGGGCGCTGCCGTCAACCATGAACCTGTCAGAGCGTCTGTCCCTGCGATATGGTGTCACAGCTGCTTCGCGACCAGCGCGCAACACGCTTCTCCATCTGCATGTGTCTACTGTGCACACAGGACGCCAGGTCCCCCTGCTGTCCCTCCACGTCCCCCCGCTGTCCCTCCACGTCCCCCTACTGTCCCTCCATCTCCCCCCTGCTGTCCCTGCTACATCCCCCGTCACTGTGGCCTTCTGTCTGGGGGCTGTGTCCATTCCTGTGACCCACGGTCTGAGCATGGCCGTGTCCATGCATCCCGGGAGTGACCCAGGAACCTGGGAAACTTAACGGTCACAGAGACACTGCTCCCGTCACATCACCTGTGGACACCGAGGAGCCTGGAAGAAGTGAGTTCTTCTAAATATCCCTCCTTCCCACCGTGTTTCCAGATGTGCCCACGGAGCCCTCACCTGGCCAGGCCCAGCAGCACTTGCAGACATTCCTGGGCTGCACAGGAGACCCCGTGCTACCCAGTCGACACCGCCACGGCCATGTTCTTGCCCCAGCAGTTCGCACTGACTGCGGGACACGGTCTACGTGGGCACTGCGGCCAGAAAGACGTCCGAGGAGGTGTTTCCAGGGCTCGGGGCAGCTCACAGGCTTTGCAGACCCTTTGGCTGAAGCTCCACCCGCCGCCTTAGACCCATCCTGCTGGGAGCCCCCGACCAGCACTTCTCCCCACAACCAGCACCCCTGACCTCTGACCTCCCCCCACCCGCCCCGCCCAGTTACAAATGAAAACGCCAAAACTTCGAATTCTGAGAAGGATCAGATATGAAGTCCACACCATTTTTCTTTCATTTCCCTGAAGTGACAGGAAAATGCTGGCAAACACGGTCTTTCTTTCTCTGAGACTCTTCACCTTAGAGCAGCGATGGCGAACCTCTGACACGTGTCAGAGGTGACACGCGAACTCATTTTTTTGGTTGATTTTTCTTTGTTAAATGGCATTTAAGTATATAAAATAAATATTAAAAATATAAGTCTTTTTTTACTATGGTTGCAAATATCAAAAAATGTCTATATGTGACACGGCACCAGAGTTAAGTTAGGGTTTTTCAAAATGCTGACACACTGAGCTCAAAAGGTTCGCCATCACTGCCTTAGAGTCTAATTCACAAAGGCTCTACACCCAGCATGTCGAACTCGCAAGCCACAGGCCTCATTTATTTGGCCCGTGAGTCTTTGAGTTTGACATGCTTGCTTTACACGTGGACTTCGCAACTCTCTTTGCAAATTATCCTATAATTAATCCAACCTGTTTGCCTCAAGCTGCTGTTACAGGGTTCAATTCTAATTCTAAGTGACGAGCAGTTCCATGAAAAAAGTTCACTTTGCCAAATGTTTACACCAAGTCACGAAAGTTTCAGTAGTAAAGTCAATATTTGTTTGTATTTTCATAGCAACCGATTTTAGTAACTATGGTTACACGAGATATGAAGAAAGACTTCCTTCTACAAAATGTCATTCTCTGTGAAAAAACCCTGTTTACTAAAAGGACATCCTCTGAAGATGTGTGTTTACCCACTGAAGACACATAAGATACATTTACTTCCAAAAGCAAATAAAATTGACATCGATGAAAAAAAACACACAAAAAAACAAAAAAACCCTGAAAAGTTAAAATGAGAATTTTCTCTCAACCAAAAATCCACTTGAGTGCAGATCAAACCCCAGGAGGCAAATGCTTCCTCTTGGGACGCCTGGCTTCCCAGCGTATAACCATGCAACGACCAACACGTAACAACACGCGTGAGCATCACCAGGCTCTGCCGCGGCGAGCGTCCCTGACTCCAGCAGGAAGCTCCACCCCGTGCTCTGTGGAGCTGGCCCAGCAAACCCGTGCGCGCTAGCGCCCGAGTGAGGCAGCTTACAGTCGCCGCACGCCAAGTTCAGGAGAACTCGGAACAGGCAGCGGCTCTTCTTGCTGGAGTCGGACGGAAGGCTCTGAGTTTGCCCGGCTGGGGCTCCGCTGGCTGGAGCCCTGTCCTGTGCACAGCAGGGCCACGGAGGCTCCATTCCGGTCGGGGCAGGGATGGGCGGCAACCAGGCCATGTTTCTCTCTCTCCCTCTCCCTTCCTCTCTCTCTGAATCGATGAGAACATGCCCTTGGGTAAGGACGAAAGGAAACAGGGAAAAGGTTCTGCAGGAAGCATCACGGAGGTGGCTTAGGTGAGATTTAGCCACTTGAGGAGGAGAGCAGCTGAGGAGAGGGAAGGCCATGAGCGCACGGGGTCCTAGGCGTTGGAGACAGTGACGAGCTGTAGGGAGGGGTGGGTGTCACCTGAAAGTCACGTCAGGTCAGGTCACACTAGGAGGCGAGGAAGAACGGGAGGGGGACTAGGTCCGGGTCAGGAGACGTGGGAGGAGGCAGCATGGACTAATGTCGGGGAGGAGTGAGGCTGCTGAGGTTTCAGACATGCAAGCGCTAAGAGCCCGGGCCTGAACCACACGCAGTGCCTGGGTCTGAGCTCCGATCCCACTGCTCCTGCTCTGTGGCCTCAGACAGGTGATGTGAATTCAGTGTAACACAGACGTGGGATCCGACCGGTGAGATTCAGTGGCTGACCTTCAACCCATGAACCAAGAGGTCCCCACTTCAATTCCGTCAGGGCACATGCCGGGTTGTGGGTTTGATCCCCAGTAGAGGGCATGCAGGAGGCAGCCGGCGGGTATCTCTCTCTCACACCGTCGTGAGGATTCCTTTAAAAAGAGGAAGGCACTGGGTCTAGGCCGGTCTGTGCTCCCTCGGGTGAGGGCTGGGGCGGGCCAAGACCGGAGGCGCAGCGTCCCAGCAGGGCCCAGGGTGAGGTGCTAGCTCGTCAGCTCCCTGAACTGACACCAGCTCTGAGCCCAGCCTACAGGCTGTTAAGATTATTAGAACGAAAAGCCACAGCCCCTTGCACAGCCTACATGGTGTGCTCAGAGTCACTTCAGAAAAACTAACATAGAAGCACGTGTGTATGACAATGAACGCACAGAGCGTCCATGTGGCTGAAACTTTTGTGAAAGAAATGAAGGGAGAACAGCATTTACCTTGGTTTTGGCGTTGACATTGGCTCCGTGCTTCAGAAGGAAGTTGACCATTTTCACATTTCCATAGTGACAGGCCACAATTAAAGGAGTGTAACCGAGCTATAGTAACAATAAACAAGCAAATGACCACTCACTAAATACACCTTGCGGGGGGGGGGTAAGACAGAGTTTCAGTCCCAGCAAGACATTCTACCTGACTGTACAGTTATTACTTAGTGGGTGTGACACACTCTGTACAGCTATTACTTAGTGGGTGTGACACACTCTGACTGTACAGTTATTACTTAGTGGGTGTGACACACTCTACCCGACTGTACAGTTATTACTTAGTGGGTGTGACACACTCTGACTGTACAGTTATTACTTAGTGGGTGTGACACTGTCTGTACAGCTATTACTTAGTTGGTGTGACACACTCTGACTGTACAGCTATTAGTGGGTGTGACACACTGACTGTACAGTTATTACTTAGTGGGTGTGACACACTCTACCCGGCTGTACAGTTATTACTTAGTGGGTGTGACACACTGATTGTACAGCTATTACTTAGTGGGTGTGACACATTCTACCCGACTGTACAGCTATTACTTAGTGGGTGTGACACACTCTAACCGATTGTACAGCTATTATTTAGTGTGTGTGACACACTCTACCCGACTGTACAGTTCTTACTTAGTGGGTGTGACACACTCTGACTGTATAGCTATTACTTAGTGGGTGTGACACACTCTGTACAGCTATTAGTGGGTGTGACACACTGACTGTACAGTTATTACGTAGTGGGTGTGACACACTCTGACGGTACAGCTATTAGTGGGTGTGACACACTGACTGTACAGTTATTACGTAGTGGGTGTGACACACTCTGACGGTACAGCTATTAGTGGGTGTGACACACTGACTGTACAGTTATTACGTAGTGGGTGTGACACACTCTGACGGTACAGCTATTAGTGGGTGTGACACACTGACTGTACAGTTATTACGTAGTGGGTGTGACACACTCTGACGGTACAGCTATTAGTGGGTGTGACACACTGACTGTACAGTTATTACTTAGTGGGTGTGACACACTCTGACGGTACAGCTATTAGTGGGTGTGACACACTCTGACTGTACACTATTACTTAGTGGGTGTGTATAGTAACAATAAACAAGCAAATGACCACTCACTAAATACACCTTGCGGGGGGGGGGTAAGACAGAGTTTCAGTCCCAGCAAGACATTCTACCTGACTGTACAGTTATTACTTAGTGGGTGTGACACACTCTGTACAGCTATTACTTAGTGGGTGTGACACACTCTGACTGTACAGCTATTACTTAGTGGGTGGGACACACTCTGTACAGTTATTACTTAGTGGGTGTGAGACACTCTACCCGACTGTACAGCTAATACTTAGTCGGTGTGACACACTCTACCCGACTGTACAGCTATTACTTGGTGTGAGACTGACTGTACAGATATTACTTAGGTGTGCATCCTGTGGACACAAACATGGGGGAGCAGACTGGGAACAAAGGACTTCACACCAGCAAAGGAGACCAAGCATGCATTTGACTTAACCTGAAAAAGAGCTAAGAGAGGGGCACAGATGGTGGGATCTGAAAACAGATGGGAGCGATGAGGCCAGAGAGGGCCAGGCGGGGATGCAGGAAAATGCAGCAGAGGTGGAATGGGGTTCATGGCAAAGTGAGGGTAAAGCCATGTCAGCGAAGGGCATGGAGGGAGTGGGTGCAGGAGAAAGCAGGTCACCGCCTGGCTGAGCAGCAGGGAGCAGGCCGTGTGGGCGCAGCACTGGGATCTCCGCTCCTCTCTCCATCCGGACTTGGTTCTGGGAGCAGGAGGTCCAGCAGTGTGTGAGCAGGACGGACTTGTGAGGAGGGGACAGGGACGTGGGTACCCTGATGAGGTGGCTGGGAGGCACCCAGGGCGGGACCCACCACAGTGACAGGAGCCTGTACCTTCGTGTGGGCATCCTGGTCCGCTCCGTGTCTGACAAGAATGTCAGCGACGTTCACTTTGTCCTCCTGGGCTGCGAGGTGCAGGGCTGTGAGTCCACTCTGCAGAGAGAAGGGGAGCGGCGGGTACAGGGGAGAAGATGCACTGATCATCTGTAATATCCCATCTTGAAAAAAGTCCTGCAATTACAGCTTCTCCCTGGAAACCACATCTTTTGAAATTGAAGACAAACCCCCTAAGTTATGGCCACTTTCCACTCAAGGCAGGTCCTCGCTCCCCAACACTGTCAGCCAATCGTTTTCTCTGTTGGGCACTTACATCATGACTTGCGACATTAAAACAAGTCAGCGAAGGTGCTCCCAGGAACACGCCCTTCAGCCCATCTGTGCCTCCGACTGAGTCCATTTATTCCCTTAAGTAACTGGCCCACCAGCCACTTCTCCCTGATCAGCACTGCAACAGTCTGCCTTTCCCTCAATAAGTCATCACATCGGTGCACAAATGTCACTCCAGGAATGAGCTCAGCATGGCTTTCTCCAGCCCAAAGGCAGGGCACTGCTGTCCAGGGTCCTCCAGGGGCTAAATAAGAGGTGGCCCCATCGTTTGTACACAGCACCATCAACTGGCCAGTTTTACATGGAATGCCTGGCGTGTGAGCACCAGCGGTGGCTTTAACCCAATGTGCCAGTGGAGCACGGTTCACAGTCAGCAGGCACAGGGCCCAGGGGCCGGAGGGGAGAGGCTTTCAGTCTCTGCCACAATCTGGCAGCCTCCACACGGGGTAAGGAGCTCCCACCAAGATAGAAATTTAAAGAGCACTTTTTTTTTTCCAGAGAAGAAGGAAGAAAAAGAGAGCTAGAATCATCAGCGATGAGAGGGAATCACTGATCAGCTGCCTCCTGCTCGGCCCTCACTGGGGATCAAGCCCACAATCCAGGAAGGTGCCCTGATTTGAACTGTGAGCTCCTGGTTCCTAGGTCGGTGCTCAACCACTGAGCCACGCTGGCCGGGCTAAAGGGCATCTTTAAAAGCTGAATCACCAGTTTGTGTCACAGGTGTTTTTTGAGTACCATTCACAGGTCAGGAATTGAGCCTGTCAGTGGGCAGTTTCTGCCCCATAGTGTCCTGTTCAGTGCAATCTCTCCGTTCCGTCTCTCTCTCCCGCTCAGACGGAAGCAGCGGGATCATCCTGGAGCCGGCAGCCCCCGCCCAATGCACAGGCCTGTCTCCACAGCCAGGTGAGGCCAGGGCGGCTCAGCCATGTCTCCAAAACCCATGATCTCCAGCCATGGGCTCCTCGGGCAAACGTGGGTGTGTAAAAGTCACGTGTGCATACTGAATGATGTACTGTCCCTGACCCCCATTCTATTTTTGTTGTTGCTGTTAATCGTCACCCGAGGATATTTTCCTATTGCTTTTTAGAGAGAGTGGAAGGGAGGGGGAGAAACACAGAGAGAGAAACATCAACTGGCTGCCTACCACACATGCTGTGACCAGGGCAGGGATCGAGCCTGAAACTGAGGTTCGTGCCCTTGACTGGAACCGAACCTGGGACCCTTCAGTTCACAGGCCAACACTATCCACTGAGCCAAACCGGCTAGAGCCCAACTCTTACTCTTGTGCAGTTACTGTGTGTGTCCACAGGCCATTCTCCGGGGAAGGCTGAGATGACTGGGCTGCTTTATCACAGACAGCGATTCCCTGACCACCACCCATGCCAGGCGAAGTGGGCTCAGGGCCTGCGTTCCACTGTGTCCCTGCCCCATGCACAGGGCTCCTGAGGCTCAGGGCTGGAGAGTGACATGGGCAGTGGGCATGCACCAGCAGGCAGATGGCCCCAGATGGCCCCACCACCTTTCTCCAGGCTTTGGAGTTAGGACTGCAAGCAGAACGAGCAGGCAGGACAGAGCGTGGACGACGGCCCGAACCCTGGGCCTCTGGGAGTGACCGCACACTCAGAGGGGCACAGAAGGCAGCTCCCAGAGGGACGGACTGTAACAGGCTCACAGGAAAAGGCAGGGCGCGAGGACGCACCACAGTCTGTGTGCCTGTCCTGGCTCCGTGGTTTCCCGGCCCCGCGGCCAGTCCTCAGCTGCCCTGGAATCCGTCACAGGCCCGCCTCCCTTACAACCCCTCGCTCTGTCCACGTCCACACAGACGGCTTCTCCGTTCACTCATCCCAAGGGTCGGGGCCGAACCCAGAGACAAAGCAAATACCTTGGTCGACGTGTGGACGTCGGCGCCCTTGTCCAGGAGCGAGGTGACCATGTCCGCGTGCCCCTCCTGGGAGGCCAGGTGCAGCGGGGTCACGCCCTGCTTGGTCACCACATTGGTCTCAGCCCCGTAGCTGAGGAGCGTGGATGCAATCTGCGTCTGGTTCTTCTTGGCGGCGATGTGCAGGGGAGTGTAGCCGTTCTGCAAAGAGTGAGAGGAACGGGTGAGCTCAGCTCCTGCCCTGGGGGACATACCTCTCTGGAGGCAGCTGACAGGGGAGCTAGAAGCCAGTGTGTGATGGTCAATGAAAGTCCCCACCCAACACCGGAGTCGCTGAAGCGGTGTCACAGGACACTGCAGGGCAGAGGGAGGGCACGGGAGCCCCAAACCTCCAAAACCCCCCTCGCACACGGTCCCTCCTGAAGAGCAGCCTGAGGGGGGCCGGTGCCCTGTGCACGCCCCCCCCAACACCCGAGGGTCCAGGCCTCCCTGCTCTCCTCCCCCCAGGCCAGCCCTCCCCCCTCAGCCTCCCTGGCAGGACCTGGTTTCCAAGCCTCTGCACTGGGGGGGCCGTCCTGGACCAGCCAGTCAGGCCGCCCTTGGACCCACCTGCGGGACCAAGCAGCACGCATGCACGCACACATGCACACAGGTACGCACACATGCACACACGTGCAGACACACATGTACGGACACACACATGCACACACGCGCACACACATGCACACAGCATTACCAGCATAAATGCGTGGAGTTCCTGCAGGGTCCTGTTCCCACCTCCTGCCCACATGCTGGGCGTTTGCATGCCTTCCTCACTCAGAGGCCACCCCAGGTTCCGACCCCGGGCCGGGGTCCCGGCAGCAGGCAGC